ACACACACACACACACACACACACACACACACACAGGATAGTCATACCTTAGTAATGAGCTCCTCCAGCAGCTCCCCCTTTGGACAAGTTTCTGGGTTTGTTTCCTCTAACCTCCCATTTGGACCACAACAGTTCAGCTGTAAACATATATGAATATATGTTGTAAATGAACATGATGACCATGAATGCAGATGAAAACAGAGACCCCCCATCCCACCCTCACCCCACCCCAAATGTGCTTTTCCATGGCATGCATTTTTCATTTAAGTCTGTGAAGGTTCTCAGTCATCCAGGTCATCGTAGTCAAAGGAGCTTGCAAAGAAAGGCGTCTCTAGACGGCTTTCTTTGCAAGCTCCTTTGACATTTTTAATTTAACTTTGCTATTTGGGCTGATTGGGACCTGATGAATGTAAAAACAAAGAATCACCGTTTTTTTCACCTGATTTTTGTTTCTGAGAAAAATGAGGTCAACATAAGAGGATATTCATTTTAAATTTTGATAGAACAGTGGCAGTATAATTTCATTGTAAATGGATATCAGGCCCTATGTAGAGCAAAATTGAGTATTTTGGTCTACACAACCCAAAATGTGGTCCTAGGAGGTTAAACATAGTCACTGTGGCATCACCTAATGGTTTGTAGACTCATTTTGGTTTTTGATACTGTACACATGTACTACAGTGAAATGTCAATTAAAAAGTATTCCACACTGAAGTACACCCTGGGCTATCATTTATGTTATTGTAAAAGGTTATATATATACATATATATTTAAATTGTTAATTAACATTAACAATTAACCCTTCTCATATACACTTATGGACTATCTGAGGAATCACTCATCGTTGGTCATTAGATAGAATGGAGGTTTAAGGCTTCATTTTGGAGACCATGTCCATCCTTTTTATACAGATCATCCAAATAAAGCCTGCACCTCTCTTAATAGCGTTTGCGACACATGTTAATGCAGACATTAAGCCTGAGATACAGCATGTTAAGATGTGAGACTTAGAAAAGGTGGTAGATGTGTTGTTATCACTAGATACACATTTTCCTTGTACTACCTGTATAGTTTGTTGTGTGTAATCATCTCACAGTTTTAGCTTCACACATAGCAGCTGTGGTTTTGATCTTAGTAATTCTCATGAAGAACGGTAATACAAAAAAAATCTGTCCTAGAAAACCAGTTTCACCTAGAAATAATAAACAACATTTATCTGACTCTACCGTAGGTGACAAATTTCTTTTGGATAAGATCAGAGTCGGCCTGAATTAGAAAGAGACTCACCTCAGCTTGAATCACCCGCAGTGTCTCTTTGAGGTGCTCGTCTCCATTTGACTTGTAGTTGTTGTACGTCTGTGTGTAAAATCCTGTGATATCATTCACCACCTGCAAAACAGCAGTAAACGGAGAAACGATGATATTATATATGTCACAGAGGCACATAAATCTCCAAACCCCTTCACTCGACTCGCTTTTTTGGATTTGGTTTGTCTTTTCTGATCTGGCAGTGTTTTCTCACATGGATTCCTGTAGTGTACTAGGTCTGTGTAAAGTGTTTTCAACCTGATAGTTAGCATTATAATTTGTTAAAATGTTACCTGGCTTTGGTTAGAAAATCCCCAGATTCCAGCAGCTACCTCAATGGCAAATATGATTAGCAGGAAGAAGAAGAACTGCAGAAAGAAAAAGACTAAATTAAACTCAGCTGACTGTTTGCTTCCAGGCATGCTTGCGCGCATGTCTTCTGCGCCCATGTATGAACACATAAGGTCAGTTGAGGGTAGCCAAACCCAGTTTTCATTTACTCCTCCTCTTGAGAGGTTTAATACGAGAAGAGCGGGATGGTGGAAGCTAGTGCAGAGAAATCTAAGAGACTCTTCCGTGGCCTTCACACAGTTCAGTAAACAAAGATGAAGGCAGACATCTCATATCTTTTGAGTGAGCCCAAGGTTCGTCCGTAAAGCACACTTGTGACAGTGAGATAAAAAGTCCAA